CCTTTAATTAGACAACAAGCGTAGATCCCGTTGAGTACAACGGACGTGAGGGGTGCTAATACCTTCCCCTTGCGTAACCGACTCCCGAACCCAAGATTTGGTCGCGAGGACCTTGTCTTTTCCCGTTCTTTAGGTTTTCTTTAATCGTTTCATTTCCCTCTCTTTGGGATAAATGAAGTTCGGTAGCGACTCTTCTGTTTTTTCACTGGGTGTTTTTCGCAGTTGCGACAGGACGCGTTGGATGGGACGACTTCCCGTTGTCTGATGAAGGTGCGTCTTTAGACTCTACACTCTGCTTCTTCTTATTGGGGAAGCGAATATCGAGATCGACAAAGTTGACTCGGGATAGTGGCTTCCGCTCTTTAGCCCGGGATGGTCTGCCGGTTGTCTTGGGGGTGATGTTGATCGATTTGAGCCCTTTAATTGTCGTCTCGAAACATCTCCTGGATGCCTCGATGTCCCCGTGGTGGTGATGACTCAACCTCTGGTCGTGTAGTACTTCATCTTCAGGTGCACTGTAAAGGGCACTGCGGTCAGTTCAGCTAAGGTTAGTCTCCCCAGGATGCACTGGTACATAGAGGGACATTCGATCACCAAGAAGCGGACCTTCACCTGTCCGGCGGTCTCCTCGGCTCTGAATGTGACAAACAGCTCCATGTATCCCCAAGGCTTTGTGGTGGTGCCATTGAAGCCCTATAGGTCAGAGCCGACATACAGGGTCAGGTGGCTCTCGTCTAGCTGGAGGGTAGTAAACAGATGGGCGTACATCATGTCCACCGAACTCCCATGGTCGACTAGGATTTAGCGCACGTCATAGTTCGTCATATGAGCCCTGATCAAGAGAGGAATGCTAGAGTTGAGTGCACCCTGGGCAGCTCCTTGAGGTAGAAAGTAATCGGGTTCGATTGACCTTTGAACTTATCGAGGGTGGCACTCTGCTTTGAGCTCTTATCGATCAGCTCCTCAAATTTCCTCTTGACCGACCCGACTGAGAGCTTGCTTGGGCCCCTACCGGATATGACCATTGCGATGGGGAAATGCTCCCATGGACTGCAGGCGGACTACGGTGCATCGAGCTCGCCGGGAAGGAGAAAGTCTTATGGCTGGGAGACACATAGGTGACTTACAGTCCGGCTTCTTCAGAGGATGGTGACACCTCCTCAACCCTCTTAGCTTCGCTGGTCTCCTGTTGAGGAACTTCGCTTCTCCGGGTGTACTGTTTCAGGTGCCCTTCCTTGATTAGGATCTCGATTTCATCCTTGAGGTGGATGCAATCTTCCGTGATGTATCCATGACTTTGGTGGAATCGGCAGTATTTGGACTTGTCGACGTTGGGCTTGGGGGGGTATTGGTTTCAAAAAACGGACACCACCTCTCTGAAATTTCGAGTTAATACACTCAGATAGAATGTGCTCGCGGGGAGCTGTGATTAGCATGTACTCAGTGAACCAGCTGCTGAGCCCCTCTATTCTCAGGGTCGATCTTCTCTTCTTCTTCCCCCGCCTTGTCGGGGAACAACGTTATCCTCGTGCCTGGTGCCCCTGACGCCTTCTTGATTTTGTGTGTCACGAACACAGTGGACGATCTCTATTTCCTCATAATGAATATATGATTGGGCCTTGTGGAGGAGGGTGTTTAAGGTGCAGGGTCTTTCAATCCCGAAGGCCTTAGCAAAGTTGGTGCGAGGTCACGGTCCTCGCTCGATCAAAATTTTCTTCATGTCGTCTAAGGTGGACACCTGGACAGCTTCTTGGTTGAACCTCTTTATGTAATCCCGAAGAGGTTCGTCTTTTCCCTAGATGATGCCTTTCAGGGATGCTTTCGTCTTCGGGTGGCGCCGGGAAGCTGTGAAGTGCCTGGAGAACTGCCTTTTCAATTCGCCCCAAGAGGTGATGGATTCGGGCTGAGGCACTTGTACCACGCCATAACATCCTTCCTTAGGGTATTGGGGAAAAGCCTTCATTTGATGGCTTCTCGGACGTTCCAATAGTCGCGCATCGCATCGATGCTTTCGATATGGTCGTCCGGGTCGATCGTACGACAAGGGCATCGCCAAGGGCGGGGGGTTTTCCATCCCGAAGGGCAAGGGCGTCTCCCTGATAGGTGATCAAGAAGGGGAAAGGTCACCCTGATTGTTCCTGTTTCACCAAGGAGGACTCCTCGGCCAGCTCTTTGGCTTCTCGACGCCTCCGTCAGCTTTATTCCTCTTATGAGTGGGGGAGCTTCACTCCTTTTGGGGAGGGGATCGGTCGCGCTTCTGAGACGCCACTAGCTGAGGCCGCTCCAAGTGAGGACGACGCCTAGTCTTTCGGGGAGAAGGGTTGTAAGAGTCGTCGTGTCACATCTTCCATTGGGGAGGAGAGGGACTACTGGAAACGGGGCGACAATGTCTTCGCGGGGGAGAGCATGATTGTCGCTCCTTATCGAGCATCCTCATCCGCTCATTCTGTTGGTAGATCATCAGATTTGTCTGGTTGATCACCGCGAATAGAGCCACCATGGTCGAGTCGGTGTTGGGCAGCACTGGAATCGGATGGTAGACAATCGGGCTATCAAAGTGTCAGGCGGCGTTGAAGGTCGCATCTTCCGAGGAGGGAGAGGCGGTGCGTCCGTCCCTGGAGTCGCCATCTTCGACGTGAACGGTCCCGTTGGGGTCGTGGTCGTCACCGTTGGTGAACGGAGTGAAGGTGGTTTCCGGAGCGTTGTCATTGCGTGGGCTGACCATGATCAAATGGAGATTGAATGTTGCTTTGGTTCTTGAGCTTCTATGCTTCTACAGAAGAAAGAATGGGGGAGCAAAGGGTTCCCACAGAGGCGCCACTGATCTTACCGGATCAGAAAGGGATCAGCAGTCTACCACGTGTCATGAGCTTCTGTGTTCACCGGCGTTGAAGAGGAGGAGGGGGTGTACCTGCAAGGTATTCCGATGCTAAAGTGAGTAACGGAGTTAGAGAGAGTAAGTACAAAAAATAGGTGTAGAGAATAGAATACCTGACCCTCTGGTGAAATAGGGTATTTATAATGTGCCCCCAGCGCAGGGCAACGGTTACTTTTCATTGGATCGGATTGCAAGGCCCAATGCGAGTAATTGTCAAGGCTTATGTGGCGTAGGGAAGACCAGCATGTGGTCTTCGCCCTTAATCAACTGCCCCGTGATATTCGAAAGGTGGGCTGACCAGTTCTTTCGGAAGTGGATAGTTGTTTGATGACGTGTCCCCGCGTGGGGGGCACGTGAAGTCCATGGGGAAGACGCGTAAGCTCTCCTTGTGCTAGGCAATGGCCTGTCCGACAGCGGAACGTGTCCGACAGAGAGGAGGATTGGGTCTCGTTGGACCTCTCCAATGTGATGTTGGGTTGGGCCTACCCGACCGTGGGGCAGGTACTAACCAAATCCAGAACAACTTTTATATCATAACATGGCTAAATCAGTGGCAAAGCTAGAACAAATTGACAAAATAAAATAAAAATTATAATAAAATATAATTAAATGTTAACAAAATATAATTATATATAACAATATTAATTTTTTGTCAATTATAATAAATGGATATGAGTATAACTATAAGTACCTTAGTACTAAATTTGTTCCATACTAACATAATATATATTTGTATACTTTTATTTTCATTATCATATACATATATTAATCTAACAATTTTATTAAATAAACCACTATTAAATTTTTATATTTTAATATAAATATTTATTTATTTTTTAACTCAACAATAACAAATTCAATTTATTTTTACATCCTTTTTTGATCAAATGAAATTTATTTACTGATACTCTGATTACATTATAGTTTGTCATCTCTAACTGAGTCTAATGTGTGGGACCCTGACATTATACTCCAATATTATTAAATTAGTTTTCATAGTTAAGAATATCCCAAGAGATAGTTGATAATATATTCTCATATATTTTTTAAAAACATTCGTTAGTGACATTGAATTTGAAAAGAGGATATTTTTGTTTCCATTTAAAGAGAGAGCAATGAAGAAGTCGTGCGTTAATAACTTTAATCAAAAAAATAGAAGGAATTAAAAGCTGGTTGAGTTGGGTTGGGTGTATCGACAATTGACAGTTCTTTTAGGTTGGTTGGTTGAAATTGAATTGTTTTGGAGCAATCTCTTCTCACTCAATTGTTTGTTGACACGCACACAAAACGTTAAAAAATAGGTAATGGTTATGCACACGTGTAACGAAAGGGATGTGTCAATAGTATGGGTCCTGTCTATTAGATCCCAACATATTCAATCCAACATGACTTGGCATTGACTCTGCATAATAAAGGACCATGTTACTTTACTTTATTACTACTACTATAATAATTTTTTCTTAACAATGAATTGTAATACTCTAGAGTATAATGAATTGTGAGAGAGAGTGTCACTATAGAGTCTTAGTCATAGAAGTGTAGGGGCAAAACCTAGCTTAGTGACTATATGCATATGAAGACAAAAACATTAGACATGTGTCACATTAACATTGGAGAAAAGTAAAATAAGTGAGAAATTGTGGAAAACTATACACTCACATTGTCCCTCCCCAAAAATAGAAACACAAACTCACTACTTCACATTATTATTACTCTTCAATTTCCATTCTTCATAGAATCAATGACTTCATATTCATAACACTGTAAAAAATCTCACTCTAGTAACACTTTTTCCTTTCCTTTTCTTCATCCCTTCTTCAATGGCTTTCCTTTTCCTTTTCTTTTTCACTCCAATAATAACAACTTGGATTCTAGTTCTCTATTCTTCACCCTGACACATTCATCATTATATTCACCTATTTCATTCATTTCTCCATTTTCATCACGTGTTTTTCTGACACTTTCTCTCTGTAGTTTTCAGTTTTCACTTCCTCTCACTCTCTTGTCGCTACCTCCCTTCAAAATATGCTCTTTCAATGGTTATTATGCTAAAAAGATAATCTTTTGCTTAGGCTTTTGTTGTTTTTTTGGTTTTTCTAGTTCCCTGATTCTGTTACATATAATGGAATCTTGGAGTTATGTTTCCAATGAGAATCAAGGTTCTGAAGAAATGGGGTTTTGTGAAATGTTAGGGAAACAATTTTCAGATGATTTCAATTTCATTGGGAATGTGTCAAGCAAGAAACTTGATGCTAAATTTGGTGACCCAAATGGGTTTTCTTCAAAAGGGGGCTCGGTTTCCAAGCTTTCAAACTCTGTGGTGGAAACTAATGGTTGGGATTCTCTTATTGATTTGAAGCTGGGACGTTTTGGTGATCATGGTCATGGAGGATCTATTTTGTCTTCTTGTGAATCATCAACACCTCCCAAGAGAGTGAGAGTGCATTCACTGAATGCATACTGTCAAGTTTATGGCTGTAACAAGGATCTTAGTTCTTGTAAAGAGTATCACAAAAGGCACAAAGTTTGTGAGGTTCACTCCAAAACTGCTGTAGTCATAGTGAATGGAATTGAGCAAAGGTTTTGTCAACAATGTAGCAGGTTGGTTAATTTTTCAAGATTATCACTTCTTTCAATTCATTTTAGTGTTTAGTTTTAGTTCTGAATAAGGCAAAATTGATTCTAGAGCTATTGAACTAATTTTGATATGTTTGAATGTTCTTCAGTATAGTTATTCTGTCATTTGTAGATAGGATTTGGAGTTTTTGCCTTTACAACTGATTTTTAGCCTGAAATTTATTGTTCAATTCAACTCTATCTAAGTAGATGTATAAAACATAAATCTGTTTAACCTCAACTCACTTTTGGTTAGAATCAGTTTTCGGATAAGCTTGAAATAAGAAGCTGTGTAGTTATGATATATAGGTGTGGTTGTGATGTTTGGCTTGTTATTCAGGTTTCATTTGCTGTCTGAATTTGATGATGGTAAGCGCAGTTGCCGTAAACGACTTGCAGGCCATAATGAGCGTCGCAGAAAACCACAAGCAGGCGTTCATTCTGCGAATTCCAGGAGATTGTTTCAGCCATGTGGTGGTAATAATATTTTATAATGAAAACATGTCATGATTGAATTGAACTCTATTCATCACACTCCCTTTTATTTCATATGTTTGTTGCTTTCTGCTTCGTTAAATTACTTTTATTTCTTGCAGATATAAGGTTCCACGGAACCAAGCCGCCACAAGCATCTTTCATCTGTCCGGAGGTGTTCTCGAATGGTTTCTCGAGACCGATTAAATCAGAACATGAAACTGGCTTTAGACCTTTATCTTCTGTGCCTGTTGTGAATGGTCATCATCAACCAAGGTCTTCGCTTGCTTCGTACAACGGCAAACAGTTTCCCTTTCTTCATGAAAATGTTGCCACATCCACTACAGGTAGCAGCATGTTCGGTGAAAACAATAACCATTATGCACATTCCATTGGCAACGCCTCATTAGGAAGGGAAGACTTCAATGCTTTTCATGCAGCATCAACCGTTCGAGGATTATCAGGAATTTCAGACTCTTGTGCTCTCTCTCTTCTGTCATCTCAATCCAAGAACACATCAAGCCAATCGTCGGGAATTCCCTTTGATCACCCTTCGGTTATCCCAAGCAGCCATAGCCATCTCTATAGCATAAGATCACAAACGACGTCCTCAAGCCGAGTGTCTGATGGATTTTTATCAGAATTAAGTCCTGCAGATGGAGGTCATCTCAGTCCTTTATTAATACCAGACAATAATGATATTGTGAACTTTGAAATGGCAGATGGAATCTTTCAAGATTCAGATTTTGTGAATGCTAAAGACCATCTTTCGTGTGAAGATGATGCAACCATCGACTTACTACAACTGTCATCACAGCTTCAGCGAGTCGAGCATCATAGGCAATCTTTGCAGGTGAAGAACGAGAGTGATTCCTCTTGCACTCTCCGGATAACTTAAGGTGATTTCGATGAGGTATGCTGTACTTGTGCTTCATGAAAATTCAATCAACTTTATCATGCACTAGCTTGAAACCATGTTTCTTTGACCTTGTAGTAAAAGATTAATTTCATATTCATTTGATGCAGGAAACAAGTTATGCACTATATCACACACCTATGTATGCCAGTTACCTTAGACAATGGGCGACAAGGAAGTAGAAGCTTGAAATGGCGCCGTTCTCTTGTTCTGATTCGGATTAAGAATTTACTAAACATATTAGACTATATTCATGATATTTCTAGTTTTGGAAGTTGGGATGCAATTGTCCCTCGGTTTTTAATATATAATCATGTTGATGTAATAATCAAAGGCCTTGTATGTGTCGAAATATGCTATTCAGAGCATAGATAATAGTGATACTCTTTGATATAGTGAAAATCTTTTTAATAACCTCTCAATGTCATGAGTACCGCTCTCAACTATTTGACCATCAGAAACAACTGCAACAGTATTAGCAGTTTTAACAGTTGATAACCTATGAGCAATGACTAGAACTATCCTTCCCTTCATGATCGATTCCATAGTATCCTGCACTAAGTATTCGCTTTCAGCATCTAAGGCACTGGTGGCTTCATCCAGTAAGAGAATTTTAGGATCCTTAAGCAAGGGTTTGTCTCTGTCCTCCTGAGAGCCTGATTCCTCCGTCTCCAACAAAGGTTTTGTATTTTTTGGGGAGTTTCGATATAAATTCATGCGCGTTGGCCATTTTCTGCATTCAATTACATACAAATCATGAGCAAATGGAAGATGGGAGAGACATGTGTTATCAATGAAACAAGACATTAAACACAGCTGCATTTTCTATATCAGCGTCGTTGATTTTTCCATCAAATCCCTAAGCTATGTTTTTGTGAAGCTTTAGCTTAACCATACCATTCTCTCTATGTTTCAATCCAGTTCTAAAATGAGTAGGAAAGTATACATTATTTTAACTATTTACACTGAAGTTGTATAACCAGAACATAAAACTACAAACAAACAGCTACCTTGATCACCATTTAATTAGGGCGTGACGGATAGGAAAACCATATATCATCTAGTTCCACCTCTTCGTCATGATCACTACGATAACAGACATCCAATATAACTTCTCATCTTTAGATATAAAATAAATTTTAGAAAATTTATGTAACTGACCCCATAGGACATTTATCTCCGGACATAGGCATGGACGAGGCATTCCAACAGTTGAAATATCCTTCTGCTGGCACCAACAACTTTCATGACTATGGTATATGTGAGATATTGGATCGAAGTCTAGTATGGTCGAAGGGTAACCTCTGATTCGACAGGAATTAAGCATGAGGTCGAAGTCTGTTCGTATACTGTTGTCTGAGTAATGTGTGTTGTAGTCGAAGTTTGTTCTAACATGAATTAGTCATTATTGCTAGGTTTGTTAGCATATTGAATTGAGTCTTATTGTAAGTCCAATTGTTTAAGTTAACTTGTATCTTAAGTTAGTTTGTAATGGGTAATTGTTAAAAAATTCATTAGGTTAGTGCGTTAGTTTTCTTATAAATAGCATGCTAGTCTCTCATCTTGGTATAAGAAAAAATAGGAAGATAAAATCCTAATTTCAAGAGAGAGGGGTTATTTTGTTATTCTTGTATAATTGTAATCTTTTTTTAAGAGAAAGGAAAGAATAGCAGTTTATAACCAATCATGTTGTTCCTTTTTGTTTTACCTTGTTTTCTTTGTTAACTCTAACCCTTGTGTGTTTCTTGATCATAAAGAAACCGTTTATATATTGTTTCAAGACATCTGATTCACAACAAATTGGTGCGTTGAGCATGGAGAAGATGCCTTCAACAAAGTATGAGATTGAAAAGTTCACCGGAGTGAACGACTTCGGTATGTGGCGCTTAAAGATAAACGCCATACTGATTTAGCAGGGTTGTTTGGAAGCGTTGAAGGGAGAGGCAGTCATGGACGTTGCATTAACGACAAAACAAAAGACATTCATGATTGAGAAAGCCCACAACACAATATTGTTAAGCCTTGGTGATAAGGTTCTTCGACAGGTATCAAAGGAGACTACAACATTGGGGTTATGGGTGAAACTTGAAAGTTTGTTCATGATCAAATCCCTGGTGAATCGACTCTACCTGAAGCAAGCTTTGTATTCATTCAAGATGAGTGAAGACAAAGTGTTGGCTGAGCAGTTGGATATGTTCAACAAGATGATTCTTGATCTTGAAAATATTAATGTGAAGATCGATGATGAAGATCAAACACTGTTGTTGTTGTGTGCTTTGTCCAGAACACATGTTCACTTCAAAGAAACTCTCTTGTATGGAAGGGAATCCCTGAGCTTTGAAGAAGTTCAATCAGCCTTGTATTCTAAGGACTTGAACAAACGAAAGGAGCATAAACCTTCGACGGTTGGCGAACGTTTGGCTGTTAAGGGAAAATTCTTGCGAAAGGATGGTAAGTTCGACAAGAAGAAAGGTAAAAGTCAGCAGAAGTCTTATAGTGGCGAAACATCTGGTATTCGATGTTATTACTGTAAGAATGAGGGTCATACAAGAAAGGTGTGCCCTGAACGCCTGAAAGATCTTGGAGGTAAGGATAATGGCAATGCAGCCATTATTCAAGATGACTTCGACTCATCTGATGTTCTTGTGGTTTCAAGTGGTAACTCAAGAAAAGAGTGGATTATGGATTCAGGTTGCACTTGGCGCATGACTCCAAACAGAGAATTTTTCGAGGAGCTATGTGATCAAGATGGTGGATCGGTGCTGCTAAGACACAACAAATCTTGCAAAATTGCACGTACTGGATCAGTGAGATTCAAGCTCCATGATGAGTCAATAAGGTTATTAACTGAAGTCAGGTATGTACCTAATTTGAAGAGAAATTTGATTTCTCTTGGTGAATTCGACCGGAAGGGATATGTTTTTCAAGGAGAGAAAAGTATCCTAAGAGTCATGAAGGGGTCGAAGGAAGTCTTGAGAGGTGTGAAGAAACAAGGCATGCATACCCTTGAGGCTGATGTTGTAAGTGGTTCGAAAAATGTTGCATCCACGAAACATGTGTTGAAGACAGAATTATGGCACATGATATTGGGTTATGTCAGCGAAAGAGGCCTGGTCGAATTGGGGAAGCAAAACCTTCTAGGAGGTGACAAAGTCGAAAAGTTGGAGTTTTATGAATCTTGTATATTTGGTAAATTCTGTAGTGTGAAGTTTAACAAAGGCAAGCAAAGAACGCATGAATCCCTATATTACATTCATGCTGATCTTTGGGGGCCTGCAATGAATCTTTCATACTCAGGTGCAAGGTATTTTCTATCCATTGTAGATGACTATTCCAGAAAGCTATGGGTATTCATCTAGAAGACGAAGGATGAAACTTTTGAGAATTTCAAAAGTTGGAAGGTTCTGGTCGAAACTTAAACTGGCAAAAAGGTTAAGAAGTTGAGAACCGACAATGGCCTTGAGTTCTGCAACGAATCGTTTGACAGTTACTGTGTTGAGTCTGGGATTGCAAGGCATAAGATTGTAGAAGGTACTCCTCAAAAAAATGGTTTAGCTGAGAGATTCAATCGAACAATCCTTGAAAGGGTTAGATGCATGTTGGTTAGTGCTGGATTGAAGAAGGTGTTTTGGGCGGAGGCTGTTTCGACAGTAGCTTATCTGATAAATAGATGTCCCTCAAATGCTTTGGAAATGAAGACACTTGAAGAAGTTTGGTCGGGACATCCACCTAGTCTCGACAGACTGAGAGTATTTGGCTGTGTGGCCTATGCTCATATTAGCCAATACAATGTCGAACTTAGAGCTCTGAAATGCATGTTCATGGGATACCCTGAAGGAGTCAAAGCTTATAGGCTATGGTGCCTAGAGCCAGGTCACAGGAGGTGTATCACTAGTCGAGATGTAGTTTTCAATTAAACGTAGATGGCTTTCAAGAAAACGGGTGATGCTGACGAAGAGTTAGAACATGGAGAGATTCTTGTTGAGGTGAAGCATGTTGATGCTGAATTGTGTACCCCATATGAAGTCGAAGAAGACACAAAAGATGTTGTCGAAGATGAGGAGACTGATAATGACTACCTGCTAGCAAGAGACAGGTCGAGGAGTGTCATCAAGCCACCTCGGAGACTTGGGTATGCAGATATTATAGTTTATGTCTTAATCTCTGCAAGTGAGGTTCTAGACGAAGAACCTAAAGACTATAAGGAAGTTATGAGGAGTCGAAAGAAGAATGAATGACTGAAGGTCATGGATGATGAGATGAAATCTCTTCATGATAACAACACATGGGAATTGATCAAGAAACCTGCTGGAGCCAGGTTAGTTAGCTGTAAATGAATTTTCAAAGTTATGAAAGGGATCGAAGGAGTGGCTTCGAAGAGGTACAAGGCAAGATTGGTAGCTAGGGGGTTCACTCAGAAAGAAGGTGTCGACTTCAATGATGTGTTCTCTCCTGTTGTGAAGCACAAATCCATTCGAATGTTGCTTGCCACGGTGGCACAATTCGACCTTAAACTGGAATAGATGGATGTGAAGACTGTGTTCTTGTATGGTGAGTTAGATGAAACAATCCTGATGAGGCAACCTGAAGGGTATGTCGAAAGAAGGAAGGAAGATTATGCGTGCAAGCTGAATAGATCTTTATATGGACTGAAACAATCTCCTCGACAGTGTAATAGGAGATTTGACAAGTTCATGGACGCATAAGTTTCATTAAAAGTCAGTTCGGCCACTGTGTTTACTTCGGATTTCGACCTGGTAATTCATTTGTTATTTTGTTGCTTTATATGGATGATATTCTAATAGCAGGCAACAATTTCGAAGATGTAATGAGGGTGAAGGTTGAACTTAATAAGGAGTTTGACATGAAGGATCTGGGAGCTGCGTCCAGGATTCTTGGGATTGGCATCCGAAGAGATAAAAAATAGTCGAAATTATGCTTATCTCAAGAGGCATACCTACGGAAGATTCTCGAAAAGTATG